TCCTAAGTTGAGATCTGATGCCATCGGGAAGGTCGTTAATGAAAATTAAAACAAAGTAGGATCAAGGATAGACCCCTGGGGGCACCTGCATTACTACAAAAGCATTTAGAAGAGTGATTGTTAAGGATCATTTTCATATCGCGATTGGATAAGAAAGACTGAATTAACTCAAAAATTTGCCCGGAGAGGCCATAACTTCAAATTGTGAAGAAGATCTGAACGCTTTCGAGATGTTCAAATCAACAGTCCGAACGTCACCATTCTTATGTAAAGCTTAATAGATTATTTCCGCAGTGATCGTCAATACGTTAGCAGTTTTAGAGAAACGAAAGCCATATTGCTTGTCTGAAAGAAGGACCTACGATGTAAAATGATTAACTAATTCAGCGTTGATTAGGATCTCGAGAAGTTTCCAAAAAAGAAGCAGAAGTCTAATATTCCGATAATTGGAAAGGTCGGACGACTCACCAGAATTCTTTAAAACTGGAACAACAGATGAGGATTGCCAACAAGCATCCAGATTAGAATAATAGCCGAAAACATTGAAGGGGTTATATGCATATTACTCAGCAGAAACTCGGTTCTAAATAGAAAGTTAGGCAAGGATACTCTAGATGAGTCAAAAGTAGAGTTTAAGAAGAATTTACCGGCGAAGCATTCTGCTTCATCAGCAGAAAATGTTAACACCTCAAAATGATTGACGAGAGGAGGAATAGAAAACTTACTCTTATTTAATACACTATTACAGAGTTGCCAGTAATCACCAGAGCCTAGATTTGTTATATGCAATACAGTGCCTCGTTTTCTCAACAAACAATCACTTAACTCCTTCGAGGACACGTTTAATTTTATTACGTGTAACCGACAATAAGCGTCTGTTGTGATCAGAACTGTCACGCTTGTGTAGCCGGAAACAGTGATTCCGGTGGGCTATAGCTGACGTGAACCATGGAGAAGAAAGAAGGTTTCACATGATATTTCCGAGAAGGAATATAATCATCTATACTAGCTTTGATATATATATATAGTTTTAAGTCTTGCTATATTTATGGGTAGAAATGCTCAATATCAGAGACTGAGCATATGTAAATATAAGTAGACACTGAGGTCAACACCAAGCGGTGAATGTCTATTTCGCGAATGCAATCTTCAGAATGACTTGTCTCTTTCTGATTGTAAGTATAAGTTTCTTTTTTTTCTTGAAGTCTTACTCGATACTTAAAGTAACCGATTAATTTTCTACTAATTTCCTCAACATCAATAACAGATTAAACTCTTTCTCTTGATGATTGTTGCGCAACTCAGTGTAAGAACAAACGCAAGCAGTGTTTGTTGGTGAAGTGTACATTACTATTTAAGATGCATTAACTGCAATGAAACATTTACAGGCTGCAATAATCGACGTGTCCATGGCTTTACGTTTATAAATTCATGGCCGCGAGTCTTGCACAACGAAATGGGTAATCACCATGTTTACGTTGGAAGAGTGTCATTTGTCTTCAGAGTCGATGCTGGCAGATGAATAAATCATGCAATAATCTCATCAGAGAAGCACCTCACCATTCTGTCGTTCCTTTCCACCTACCATCCCTCATGACCATTGCATGCAGATGCAATAAGGAACGTAAAATAAGACGAATTCAGGCAAATAAACAATTGCACTTCTTTTCGACACCGGATATTTAGCAACAGAGTCAATTGCGTAATGATTATTGCAGTTTCCGGGTGTTAGCACCTCAGATTGATTGACGAGAGAAGAAATAGAAAACTTACTCTTATTTAATACACTATTACAGAGTTGCCAGTAATCACGAGAGCCTAGATTTGTTAGATGCAATACAGTGCCTCGTTTTCTCAACAAACAAACACTTAGCTCCTTCGAGCTTCATTTTCCGGGTGTGAAATTTTCAGTTTGCATCTTTTATTGTAGAGGCGTTCATTTTCTTTTTCTTTTATTATAGAATTGTACAAAAGACCAGAGATAACGAAGCATAGCAGTAAATGAAATCAAATGTACAATTTTAAATCCAACAACTAATCTGAAGTTATTTAATACCAGAAAATTTATGAAATTCTAGAAATTTAAGCAATGTAAACAGGCATGAAGTCATATTGATGTTGTTAGAATTGTTGCAGCATGGTTTCTAGTTAGACTAAAAGCAATGGCAACAATATTTGGCACATGTAAATGACAAGTGTAAGGAAATAGAATGAATTCTAATAAAGTACTGTATATATAAAATTCAGTGACTTCCGTTAGTCTGTTCGTCCGTCCGTTCGTCTGTCTGTCCGTCACGCTCTCTAAAATAGCCATGTATTGACCGATCGAAACCAAATTTTGGTGAGAAGTACAAACGGGTAACAGGGTACAAACTACGAAGGTGCGTAGCTTAGTGCAATAAATGTTCATTCATTTTGTTGGGAAAATTAAAAGTTTTATTATTTAACATATAAAATATTCCCATTATTTAAAAAAAATAATTTAATGATTAAAATAAATTCTTATTTAATAAAAATGCAGTAATGTTTTTTTGCATAGCTTTTCATTCTGATAAAATATAATGCACTTTAAACATAAACTTTAAATATAAACACAGTAGAGAGAGTAGAGTTTGTAAATCTTAACAAAAAATGTTAGCAATAACTTCAAGAATGATAAATAATGTGTGGATTTCAACACGCTAACGTGTGTTGCAAAAAATTCTCGTATTTTCTATATTTCTTTTTATATAACTGAGTAATAACGAAAAGAGAAAATGTATTAGTAAGCATGTAAAAGAAAGAAGACATTAAAAACTAGAAATTGTGTGGGCATACACGCACATGTGTGTGTGTGTGTGTGTGTGTGTGTGTGTGTGTGTGTGTGTGTGTGTGTGTGTGTGTGTGAGAAGAGTTCAGTCACTAATGAGGGAAATATCTCCATGTCAAGGAGCAAGGTCCCGTGCATGTCGTGGCTACAGCATGCTGGGTGGAAAAGAAAGAAAAGAGGACGAAACAGGAAGTGTCCTGTTTTTATAGGTGCTTCAAAGCGCCACCTAATGACTTCTTAACAGAACTGGTAAAGCTATGTAGGGATAACACACAGAATATAGCCCAAATTCGGCAAAAAAGAAGGCAAAAACTCGAATCCTTGTTCGATTATTTGGTTGACCTCAAACAATTGATAAATAAAATTTAGGAATAAAAACAAAGAATTTAAAAGGAAACTCACATCGACATTAAAAAGAGTTGTCACTATTCAGTCAATGAATACCGAATATTTTCCTTTATAAAACTGAATTTTGCCATTACAGTTATCACCAATAACGTTATCCTTTATACATAGTTGTATCATTAAATAACATATTTTGCTATGACATACCTGATAAAATATATAACTGTATTCTAACAAATAATTAGCTGATTATTTTGCTGTAAAAAATTGTTTATTATTTATCTAAGAAATAAAAAATGATGCATTTTAAAACAGCATTAAAGAAACAAACATTTTTGGGACGACCTACCATAGAGTGATGAAGAAGTTCTAATGGTCAAGTATATACATCGATTCCTTTAGACGTCTGATTCTCCACTGCTCTCTGTCTAGTATTTTTTCTTCATTTCGCAAGTATTGATGATCACTTATTTCTTTCTGTATATGATCAGCATGCCTGATTTCATTATATATATATAATGCCCAGTACTTATTGGAAAACGCTCAATATCAATGATAGGAGCTAACATATTTAGTTGGATTGATGTGAGTTTGTGACCCTGGGTTTCACGCTATTTGCGATCGTCAGACAAATATATATATATATATATATATATATATATATATATATATATATATATATAAGATAAGAAGATATATAAGAAGAAGAAGATGAGCAACAATAACAAACACATAATATTATAGTGTCAGCGGTCAAGTCTTTTGATCTAAGGCATATTTCCTACGAAATATCTTATCAAATGAGATGTCAGTATTTACAGAACTTCGTAAATGTTATCACCTCTCGTTATATTTTAGAAGTAATGTCTAATTTTGAATGGCATTTTGTAAAAGTCTCGTTCCAGACAATTGAAGAATTCTTTTGTTGCGGGTTTATTTTTTCTCTAATTTTGTTTATGACGATCCCTTCAAGTGACGAAATTATTATATGCGTTTACTGTTCAGGAAACTCAAATCAATCTCGTTTTATAAACATATTTCGCTTAGATACTAACATACAGGGTATGTACTGCTTGGCATTTGCGCGGAAGTTCCAATACGAACTTTTCAGAGTGTTTCGGTGTCAATCTGAGGACAGTGCTGAGGATTCGGAAAGAGTTGGATGAGTCTAATGGTGATTAAGAAGTTGTTTGGAAGGATCACTAGTGATGGCGACATTATACCTCCATTCATCTTCCCCCATGGCCTCAGACTCAACACGGAGGCCTACATCAAGTGCTTTGAGGAAAAAGTGCTGCTAAGGGTCAAGAGGGTGGCTGTTAGAAGACCCTATATCTGGCAACAGGACTCTGCAGTATGCCTCACAAGCAAAAGAACCCAGTCATGGCTGTCAGTCATTTTCTGCTACCACATCACCTAACTAATATGGCCACCTAACTTCACAGACTGCAACACCCTTGATTAATATGTGTCGGGTGCAGTTGAGCTAGATACCAACAAAACTCCTTGTAACACCAAAGATGAACTGAAGGAAAAGGATTTATGACATCATTCACCAACTTAAACAAGGAAACCGTCCAGAAGATATACAGGAAATTCTAAAGTCGTCTGGAGGCTGTGATTGAAGTTAATGCCGATTTTTTATTGAATAAATTTACTCTTTAGTATTTCAAGATATTTTCGTGTGATTTTAGTCACAATATATCTGTTAACATGAGATGTCAGTGTTATTTTCATTTATGCGTCATTTAGACGACAATTTATCCATCGCACCCTGCATTTTGGTGCTACTCTAAGAATAAACGTGTATAACATTTTTAAAAACGGAAAATCTAGTTCCGGATAAATGCAGAAAGATTTTTGTTTTCTTTTCTACAAGGCCAGAAGAGAGGACATCAACGAACAGAGCAAGTATTTAATGCGTCGTAGCGAATCAACAACACAAGCACATATGCACAAGAAATTGGTATTAAATCGCTGGACTGGTTGGGCAGCTGAATTTGATACTTTTCTTTTTTTTAGTACCCCTCTTTTTCTTTCTTTACTTCTTTCTTTCTCCTCGCACGACTATATCATTCTCTCTCATACCGTGATTTACTTCTCTCTCTTCTCCGACTTTTTTCTCACTCTTTATCAACGTCTTTTCCCTCTTCCTGTTCTTTCTTTCAAACGTAATACTTTCTCTCTTTTTCTTCTTTTTTTTCCTCTTTTTTCCCTCCATCGGACTCATCACTTAACTAAAATAGAGACGTTCTTTCGAAAAAGCAGTCATTTTTATCGTGAACTCAATCTTAAGAGAATTTTTATTTTTATGCTACTAAATAGAATGAACTTCAAAGTTTCAAAATATCTTTGTTTTAATTATATCTGAATTAAATCCGTTTGGTATTGTAGGATTTTAAATCAGTGACTTTTTATTATTATTTGTCAAGCACATATATTGACAGACTCTCTTCAAACCTAACTGATAGGCTGGGGTAATTAATTTGATTTATGATACCCAATTATCCTCAAAGATCCCAAGACATTTTTCCTCACACACAGTTTTGTATTTCTTTTATTTTCAAATTGAAGACGCCAAAGAGAACATAAGCTTTCTCCGGCGAAACACGTCTTTGATAAAAAAAAAAAAAAAAAAATCCACTTTGTCTCATCATTTTTACTTTTGTTTCGGATACGATTATACATCACCACACACACACACACACACACACACACACACACACACACACACACACACAAACATATATAAATATAAACGCGCGTACGCACACATACACATATATATTATACATGCTTCAAACGTGCGCGCACACACACACACATATATATTATACATGCTTCAAATGCGCACACACACATACATTCCACATGCTTCAAACGCGCCCCCACACATATATGTATATTATACATACATCAAACACACGCACACAGACACACACGCACACATATATGTTATACATGCTTCAAACGTGCGCGCACACACACACACAAACATATATTATAAATGATTCAAATGCGCGCCTACACACATATACACACACATATATATTAAACATACTTCAACCCCCCCCGCGCACACACGCACACACACACACACACATACACACCTGTCTATATTTCTGAGATGAGGTATTATGTACATTATTTACATTATTTGGACTATTTTCCTCATCTTTGTCGCCATATTTATTACAACGTTTCGGCTGTTGTACGCTGCGGCCTTCTTCAGGTGGTTGGAATGTCGAACATAACCCTTTATTTCGCTCACTGGGGTAGACTGTTCTAGTTCCACGTACGATGTCTAATGGATGTCAGTTATCAGTTTATCTTCTGTTAATTCCCCTCTCCAAGTTCCCATCCCGAGAAGAACGGACCAGTATTCCAATAAATAATCTGATGGAGATGTTGACTTTCTGTACCTAAACAACACACTTCGGAATGGGATCACACATATATCGACAGGATGAAGGCTTAGCAATGGGCCCTCCATTATCACCAGCAATGGCGAATATATACATGGAATACTTCGAGGAAAGGGCATTAGAATTCATATCTCTAAAGCAAACTCTATGGTTAAGGTACGGAGATGACACCTTCATACTCTGGCCACACCAGGAAGATGTTCAGATTCTACTGGACCCTGTGAACTCAATAAGACCTTCAATACAGTTTACGATGGAGAAAGAGGGTAACAACACACTCCTGGATGTTCTAATATCTCGAACAGAGCATGGGTTTAAGACATCCGTATACCGTAAACCGACATTCACCGGACAGTACCTCAATTTCAACTCCCACCATCCATACAGCGTAAAGAAAGGGATCGTCCGTTACTTACAACACCGGGCAAAAGTCATAAGTGCCGACCCAGAGACATTAGATAAAGAATTGATCAGTATAAGTCGTACCCTACAACGTAACAACTACCCTGGGTACATGGCAGCAATCCCAAAAACTGGGATAGGCGGGTACAGGAGGAGGAGGACAACAACACTCAGAAAACAGTCTGCCTGCCTTATGTGAAGGGGTTATCAGAGAAAATACAAAGGATTTGCAGTCCATATACCATCAGGACAACCTTCAAAATCTTGACGACGCTTCGCAGATATCTCTCCCGAGTAAGACCCCCCCCCCATAAAGAAGAACATGATTAAAGACTGTGTGTACGCTATCCCGTGCAGCTGCGGAAAGAAATATAAAGGGGAAACAGGCCGTCCCCCTTAAGGTAAGGCATCAAGAACACCATAAGCTGTAACACGAGGGGAAGTAGAAGAATCAAGCGTGGCTGACCACATATGGAGAGAAAAGGGAGAACACCGCCCTCTGTGGGATCAGGTTGAGATCATAGACAAGGAACAACATTGCAAAATTCGTAAACTTAAGGAATCAGCACATATGCTAGGCCACAAAAATCTCCTGAGCCGACCAAGCATAGAAATAAAGGAACCAGTAATAAGGAGTGCTAGAGAAAAGCGATAATAACAACAAAAAATGCAATATGAGCTCTGGTAAAAACATAGGATGTTAATAGCAAACAATTGCAATATGAACACTGGTAAAAAACGCCCGAAACGTTGTAATAAATATGGCGACAAAGATGAGGACAATAGTCCGAATAATATAAATAGTAGACACACACACACACACACACACACACACACACACATATATATATATATATATATATATATATATATATATATATATATATATATATATATACTATACTATACTATACTACAAATCCGTGATTATCCGTTTATTTTATTGTTTTCTTTATGAGCCTCGTCCCTTCAGGACTTAGTTAATCATGACTCTTCCTGTGGCCTTTAGAAGTTTTCTCCCTTTGATAAGACTCGCTCCCACCCCATTCCGCCATGGAATTTTCAGTATGCTTCTGTAGAACCACATTTCCGCTGCCTCCAGTTTTTTCCTCATCCATGTGGAAATTGTCCAGCATTCACTGCCGTATAATATCACATTGCAATGCAGCGGTCTTTTCTTTGTTTCTAACGAAATTTTTCCGTTTCTCAGTATCTTGCTTAGCTTTTGGAATGCTTCTTTCGCTGGTCTAATGCTTGTTCGAATTTCGGTATCACGTTTTCCATCCTCTGTTAAATCACTTTCCTAATATTTAAGCTTCTGCACCTGCTTGATATCTTCAATTTGTAATTAGCACCTTAGTGGGTTTCTCTTGCTTATGACCATATTTTCTGTCTTGCAGTTGATGCTTAGTCCTTTGTTCCTCGTCTTCTACTCCTGCGTCGAGGAGGTACTGTAGTTTCCTTGTCGAGCCTGCCATTGTTGTAGCATACTTACAGACGATAATGGGTATGCCCCCATTCATATAAATACTGTATGTTGGTCTGCAGTCAAAGATTCATCTCCAGCTGTGCTAGTCAAACCCTCTGCCTCTGGGAAGAGAGGATCCCCGAGACGAGGCTATGTCGAAGGCAAAGTTTCGTCTCGGGAAACAACTACCGGAGCCCGTTTTATACGGGATCTACGGGGAATTTTTGGCTGAGCCTACGGGCTCTGAACCTCACATTAAATTCGGCCTTGTGCCACATATGACCGCGCGGGACGGTTGGTAGACATCCTGCAATTGGAGATTCATTGTGGAATTCACTTGACTCACTTCTAGCAGTTGACTACTACTTCTACGCACCGTTGGCGAATCTTATATGTGTTGTTCTTGTCCTAAGTATTATCGTTCATTACCAACCTTCGTTTGATTATTCTATTCAGTAACCTTCCCTAGGTTACAACAGTCATTAATACAATGTCATCAGTACCTCTTATATTGCTAAATTGTGTCGATGAAGTTAGATAAATTTGGTATGAAGAGCACTATTGTTTTATTTGTTTTCCTGTTTTTGTGCACTTCGTACAAGTTATTTTCCATCCCCCACCTGAGTAAATGTTAAGGGTTATTCTCATATCTTCTTCATATCTTCCGTATCAAATATATTTTCTGTAATCTATGAAACATGAGTATAGTTCTTTTCACAGGGGTGTAAGACAAGGATGTGTCTTATCACCGGACTTATTCAACCTATACAACGAGATAATTCTGAGAGAATTAGATGTCCTACCAAGATTCATTATTGGCTGCTATAATCTTAACAAAATAGAAAGTACAGATGATGCAATGTTGACATGGAAAAAAAAAAAAACTACAAAAGCACTGACAGAAGATAGTGAAAAAAGCGAGAAGAAAGGACAACATATAAACTGCAAGAAGACACAATGCATGCTTATTAGCCAAACGATGATCACAAAATGCAAATTTCAAATCAGAGATACCAAAATCAACCAAGCACAAAAATTTAAATATTATCTGGGAAGTTTTCTAAAAGAGGACGAAAAGTGTGATAGTGAAATTCGAAGACGCATTGGGATAGACAAAAATGCATTCCAAAAGCTAAGCAAAGTATTAAGAAACAGAAAAAAAAACATCGTTACAAACAAAGAAAGGAATAATGAACTGTTACGTGATATCTGTCCTATTGTATAGTAGTGAATGCTCGACAATCTCCACAAACATGAGGAAGAGACTTGAAGTAATAGAAATATGTTTCTGCAGAAAGATACTGAGGACACCATGGAAGCAACATGTGAGCAATGACCAGGTTTTAGAGAAAATGAAAACAAAAAAGAAACAAAAAGCAAATTTCTACTTAACATCAGGAAGAGACAGTTGAAATATCTAGGCCACATAATATGGAAGGAGGGTTTGGAAAATTTGTTACTCACAGGACAGATTGGGGCCAAGAGGGACAGTAGAAAACAACGCATAATATACTTGGCGAACTTGAAAAAAATGAATGGCGGAACAGAGTTTAGAAATAACAATTTATTTAGATCTGCATGGGACAGGAAATTGTGGAGAGCCATGATCGCCTACCCCATAAGAGAGAGAGATGTTGTTTACATTGATATCATTCTGATCATAATAGTATTTCTTGTTCCAGTTTCATGAACAAAGACATGATATTCTTGCTCTATATCCAGTCTAATTCTGTTACGATCTATTTTCATTAGGATTCTAATTATAGGTTTAGTTATAGGACTCATTAAGCTGGTTACCCGATCGCGTAAAATTACTACGGTAATGCATAAGAAATTCTTTTAAAGCTAAAGTCGTAATCACCAGTGTGGACGTAATTGGTAACCAATGCTGAGATGGAAATGTTTAGTAATACATGGTAGAGGCGGTGACGGACAGGAAGGGGGAGGAGGGGCGGAAAAGATATAAAAAAAGATATAAAAATAAGTTTAATATTGATAAATGTCTTGAGAATAGTGCGTATCGATTATTTCATACTTCCTATTTTGATAACAACTCCACTTGAGTTATAGATTTCGAAATGTTCCAACGAGAAGACAAGTTTTTTTTTTTTTGTTTTTTTTGGGTTTTTTTAATCGATTTCACCCCAAGCAATGCAGTAAAGCCACAGAGGTTACTGGGCGTGGAAGAGTTAAGAAGTTAAGAGCTAAGGAGTGAGAACAGAGAAAGGGTAATCAGGAGGACAGCAGATAGCGATTGACATTGCATTTAAATTTTTGAAGATTACAGTTGACTGGAAAATATGAAACCGGAAGGGAGTTCTTCAAGCGAGAAGTTCGAAAAAAGAAACTGTTAGAATAAAACTTACAGTTACATCAATCCAGCTCAACTGTAAATTGTTGAGACCTCGTCACTAGTACTGCGCTTAAATTCGAATAGACTAGACACCATAGTGAAGAGCTTATCCGAACAATTACCATGAAACTACTTATAGAAAAGGCAAAGGGAAGCAACCTTACGGCAGTGGGAAAGTGAATGAAGCCGAGACGCCATATCAGGGCCAGTAATAATGCTAATTCTTCTTTGGACTTTTAGCAAGAAGTTTTAGAAAGATAGCAGGAGCACCGGACCATATTTGGCAGCAATAATCTATGCATGGCCGAATGGCAGACTTACAGCTATGTAAGATAGACTCTGAAGAGAAAAAACTGTCTAACACAACATTGTAGACCAACCTTGCTTGCAGGTGACAATTTACTTATTAAATAGGGTAATTGAGCATTCATTTGCTGTAACGTCTTCTCGTAGCTAAGTGAGAAAGCACGCCTGGCTTAAAAGTGGAAATACATTTACCCGTTTTTAGAGACGAATTAGGCTGTTAATATGTGACAACATGGACACCATTTCCGGTACTTTTTAATCTACTTTTCCATAAAGCGCGGATTTAAATGGATCTCTTGATTTTTAAAATTGTTTCCTTGATTATTTTTCACAAGAGTCGGTAACAATATGAACAACTTTAATAACTAATGGTGAGATTAACCATTTCCATATAAGAAATATTCGCCATTCATTGACCGAACAGTTAGAGTTACTTTCTGTCGAAATTTATAAAATCTTTGTCTTAAAAGATATTTTTTGTGGGAGAGAGGATATAGACTTATCAAGTCCAGTAACTTTCACGTATCTCCTTCCTAACCTTTTGTTTAAGGTAGTCTGAAAAGTCAATATCCTAGTTATATCAATATTCTCTCTTCTCGTTACAGGTAATAAGTCATTTTAGTTTTTGTTTCTCTTAGAAGTCGTCAAGTGATGCAGTTTTTGTTATTTGACAAAGCTCTTTGTAATTCTGTGGTGTCAATCTATATAGAGTCTGATGAAGGAATGTTTTCCTTGGTGCTTATAGGATTCAATAGCTTAAAACAATTTTAGTCATTGAACTGTGAAAATCTTTGTGTATCGATAACAGTTCTGAACGAGTTGGAGGTCGTGCAAAACATCCATAGAAAAGTCTATAACGAGGCTATTTAACACGTGACTCGAATTCTTAGGTTAATATTTTGGTTTTGTAGCACCATGCTGTGTTGAGCGAAACTATTCCTAGCGTAGTCTATCTCAGGTTCAACATTTTTATCTCCTATATTAACTATGTTGTAGCTGATTCATACACCGATCATAGTTTTGTCGCAGTGTGCCCAAACACCACTCCCATCCGTTTCTTAAACAACCCCGGCTATGCCTGCTGATAGAGAAAGGTCACGGTCGTTGTGTGCTAAAAATAGCAACGACATCCTTTCAAACCTTCAGAAACACACAAAACTCAATTTTCGCCACTAAACAAAAATAAAAGACCTTTAATTCCGAAACGAAGTTAATGTAAATACAGTCAACAAACTCCGAACACACCTTTGACTGTAATTAATACGGCCCGGAATTAATTACTATTCATTTACTTGTTTAGCGTCACCGCTTTCTCTTGTATGAACCGTCATACCTATATCCCGGAGACTTCGCGGCGGTTTTTAACCGGCCTGGGGGGAGCAGGAAGCCCAGTCAAGTCGACCAAGCCCAGCAGCTGTCGGGACCAGCAGTCTCCAGCTCCCCTGCGGCGCTCTACTGACGTCCCGCGACTATTCCAGCACCCGCTGACGACCTTATCCAGTGCCCACTGACGTCTAGCGCCCGTTATCGTCCGGACACCGTTCAAACGACCTCTGTCTGCTTACCATCCACCGTTTGCGAATAAAGACACGATTTCCATCGTCTACAACGGACCATCTGTGTTTGTCATCCTTCTTTGCTATTGCCATCTCCTTGCCCTTGTGTGTCCCCCTTTTAGTTGTACGGTCGATTGGCACTCACACCTCTCGGCCTGCTGCAACAAGTTGGCATCCCGGCAATGACAAACAACGTTGGCAACACGAACTGCTGCAACAGTTTCTGTTTTAGAAAGGTTTATTTTAAGTACTATGTCTTAGAAATTTGTAAGCAGGTTCAAATAAATTAAGAGCCAGATTGAACAGGATAAAATGCAAGTGATTAATCACAGTGATTGATTTAAAAAAAAAAATGAATTAGTAACAATTCTAATTGCAGCAGGCACAAATAGGTTTAAATTAATTAGCAGGAAGCGATTAATGAAAATGTAAGTAATACTTGATTAATCATAATTGTTTTTGACAGGATTAGAAAAGTAATCTGTAGAAACAAAACAGAGTGGAAAACGTTCTTATAAATATCGCCGGAGAAAAAAAAAAATGTCAGTCAGATGATAACTGATTAGAAGCAAATAGTAAAGTTTAAAATAGCAAGACATTCGAGTTGAAGAAACGAAAGTGTCAGAGAGGAAGAAGAAAAAGGATTTTGTTTCTTGCGATAAAAAAGTGATTTTGAAAATAACAGTTTTACTTTGATCAGCGGTGTGTGTAGCGTTTGTTCAGCTTGGGGCAGTCGTAGAACTTGCCTCCCCCTGTAAACAATATTCCAAAAGCAAACAGCATCTACGAAATACAAAAAAACGATTACATTTAAGATTATTTATTTTTATTTGAGTGCAGAAAAAAAAACAGCAACACCGAATGCAAAAATAAAATAAAAAGAACATTTAAAAATAAATAAAACAAAACTTTTTTTAGTAAATAAACATTTTGAAGATAAAATATGATTTATTTACAGTAAGGGTCATCCTGTACAAAGCTCTGGGGCCCACTCGACGTAGAGGCTTACTTTAAGGGGGTAGTTTATATGGATAAGGAGGGGAAGATAACGGTTAACTCTAGACTTGAAAAGGTTATGATTGTAGTGATCGAGGAAATATCCACGGGAGTCTGTTTCACAGGGCAGTGTTTCACGGGAAGAGGCTGTTTGAGTTGAACTTACTTCTCGCCGATGAAATATGGTAGGAATGTTGGTGGTTTGCTACAGTGTAAATCAGATGGCGGGTTCTAGTTGTGAAGATTAGACCTGGCGGAACCAAGGAAATTAATTCGTCCGAGCACTTTCCAAATATGGCAATCATACTCCATTTTAGACCTGCTCTGGCTCTTATAGGCACTATAAAAAATCTCTAACGGTAATTGAGTCCTAATAAAATCCTCAAAGAAAAAATCCAGTTTATTATTTAACCATAAAGTGAGTTCAGATAAAAATAGCACAAGTGGAAAAAGAGATAAAATAACAGTACTAAATTTACATGCGACTTCATAATATTAATTCACCTACGGCCCCATCTCCAATACTTGCCGCCTGGGTTGGACCACTCCCTCAATGTCCACCAATGACTTAAGTAACTTGGTGTTTAAATAGCTACTTAACATTTTTTAGTCACACTCTTCAAACATCGTGAAAGAAATAAGTTCGAATTCCGGTCGGGTTCATTATCTTCACTCTCGCGCAAATACAATTAGGAAAGGTATGAATCCATCTCTTCTACGACTTAAATGGCAGAACAAACTGGAATCTCTAACGGTAGATGGCCACCAATTTAGGAACCGTGATTTTCAAAATCCTGTGTAGCCCTTGCAAAACACAGCACATACTCTGCAGCCATAGAAAGGATTATGCAGTTCATAATGAGTCTGGTTGATGATCGATGTAGATAAAACTCATCAGTGAATGTGACTGTGTGCGCGCATGCGTGTTATTAACGGAAGTTTATCAGCTGATAATTTCATAATCACTTTTTTATTGCTTAAATTAATTTTTACTGGAGTTCTTGATTAGGATTTAGCATTATTATAAGTGATATAGATATTCAGACTAGCAGGTTTTAACGATGCCTTTAATCCACGAGACCATATATCTGTCTGACAGTTGTAAGATCAATCCTTGGGTATGGTAGTGTCAAAAATCACATACATGGATTGTTCAGTGGAAGAAACGGACAAGCGACTAAATGAATAACACAGAAGAGTTTTACCGATCTACTTCATGTTTGCTGAAATTTCTGAGCACATATTTTCCATGGATTCAAATGCTTATCCCCGTTGGCAAACAAAAACATACAACATTATTGAAATTATGCTTGTTTTGTATTTTGTGTTGTTGCTTTAATGGCGTTTTTTTCTTCCTATGGTTAATGAGTTTTTGGTAGTGAAAAGAACAAAATACGTACGTTTTATTTATTAAATTCAGATAAGTCTGCCACAAGTCATTTCAAGCTTGTGCCTTTCCGGGAAGCATTTGTGGAAAATAATACAAAATAATACAAAGGACAACAAAGAGAACTTAAACCTTCGATTAATCCCACGACCAGGTTTTGTTTCTTTACAAACGATGTAAAAAAGAGCAAAATTGTTCACAATGTATTCGACATACTTATCCCATTGCATGAAACGGCATTTTTCTTACGTTGATACCTTTGTTTTTTTTTATATTATTGTTCACCCAATACAAAGCTAGGAGCCACTCAAGGCAGAGGGTTACTGTGCGGTATAAACCTGAAGTAAGAAGTGCATATTATGAGGTTAGGCTAGATAACGGATGACCAAAGAAAGGCTAAGAGGTTAAGATCGTAGTGATCGGTGAAGCTTCATCTTGGGAGTTTCACAAAGTAACAGTTCTTGGGAAGACGCTGTCGGGGTGGAACTTCCTCTTTACCAATGGAATACGAAGGGAATGAGAATGATTTAACCCTGAGTACGTGGACTGGCGGACCCTAGCTGCGAAGGTCTAAACTTGTGGAACTAACGAATCTAGCTCATCTGAACATTTGATTTGAAAGCAGCGTTAGCAACGTTTCGTCTTTGGAAAATAAAAATAGGGTGAAAAGTAGTTACTCACGCTTTTTAACTCTATCACAACTGGGAAATGATGATTGAGAAATTCTAGCCTAAATATGGCAGCAATGCTCTAGCTTTGGTCTGACCTTCATGCAAACAACATGTAAACAGATCATTTGAATGCGTTGGTCCTTTTGGATATTTCCAGTTCCGGCAATTAACAAGCACTGATTGAGTTCACATCTGTTTTTTGTAATCATATTTCTCTGATTTACACTCTTCAATCATCTTTCACCAACTTTAATCACTGTTACTCTATGCGCCCAAAATGATTATTATGTGTTGTTTAGTCGTTAAGGAAACAGATCAGATTTTCCGTCAGGCTCTATGGTTGTGATTATGATATCGTGGAACGCATATAATTTAGTCGAGTCATTTATGGTTGCATACTCACTCCTCATGTTCAAAGACTGGTGCAATTTCAAACTTGGTTAGGCAGCAGTTATTATCCTTTAATATATACACTATTGGCCAAATGTCTGAGGTTATCCTTTAGATTTAATAATTAAATTTCATACATTCTTTGGTTTAATTATTCCTACGAATCTAGGATGCTGAAACTATTCAACCAATCAGCGTCCATTTTTTAAGGGAGGTTGTTACCTAATTTTTTTAAATACGTCCGAACTAAGATTACCATTAACCAGCAAGATAGATTAGGCAAAAAGTGTTAAACTTGTAAGAAAACTTTACGCAATAGTGAGTTCATTATTATTATTATTATTATTATTATTATTATTATTATTATTTGTTTATGTTATATTTCCTGCTTTGTATTCTGTAGAGCCGTGTCTAAACTATGTTCCTTAGGCCCTATAACTGATAGCACTTTTCTTAGTATATGGGATGTTAATAGTAGGGCGATTTTCTGGGCAACTTTTATGTTGCTGTTACCTGGGACACTTTTAGTAAAATTGTCCATTCCTTTTCTCACGAGGTACAGACCTCCGATTATTATGGCTACAGTGTCAGTTTTCCTGTTAATCTCGATCCCCAGGTCTTTGTATTTGGACAATTTTGTGATAACTTTCATGGAGATGTTTCTCTCAGAGGGTACTGCTACGTCAATAAGCATACACTTCCTGAATTTCTTTTATGATTATCATAATATCAGGCCTGTTGGCTTTTATTTCCCTGTCAACAATTGGCATGTTCCTGAGGATATTTTGGGTAACTGTCTCTTGTTGGTGTTCATACCATCTCTCAGTAGTTTCGATTTTGTGCTTCTTGCATATCTTCCAGTGCACATATGTCGCTACCTTGTTATGTATGTAGGTATATTCATTGTTTTGCTAGATCCGGACATCCTGAGACAGATTCATCATATTTTGCGTAGATACTTCATTTTCGTTTAGTTTCATTCTTGATTATATGACAGTGATAGGATCTGTTTGCGAGGCTTTGGTTCTGAGCTGCAATAATTAGGCCTTCTGTCTCAGCTTTCAACCCGGTGCTCCTCAGCCACTGATGTGTTTTCTGTTGATCCACATCTGCTTCTTTCGTTCTTTTTAGGGATTTAATTCCATGCACCGCCTTTACTTCACAGTTTTTTGTAATTTCATTTGGCCAAGTTGGTTTGCTTTCTGTTTTACGCATTTGGCGATGGTATTCGTTTTGGTTTTTATTAGTAGGGTTTCAGGCACATTAAGCTGTTTCTTGAAGGGTGCAGCTTCGTTGTTGATAGAGTGGATTTTTACTATTTGTAGGAGAGGGTCATTGGTTTTTTGTGCGGTATACTTCCAATCCGATTATTGTAGGTTTTAGTGTATTTCAAGTTGAATTAGATTTGGGCCTTCTAAAGATCTGGGCCTTCTAAAGATCTTGGCACGTACAGCCTATCAATATCTGATTTCGGGTGGTGCATTTTCATTTGCGTAAACAATTTTCTGGTC